AGGCTGTCCCGCAAAACATGGCCTTACAGCTGGCTCCATGCAGAATACCGCAGTCAGAACGGTCTATATCCAGCCCGAATCTGATCGCGTCCGCCGCCCGAATAATGTTCATCTTTGCCCCGGTGTCCACCATTGCTGCGCACTTGGAACCCTTCATCATCAAATCCACCGTACCGCAGGCTACGCACTTCCAGTCCATCTTCGTACCTGACTCTGCCCACTCTGCCTCCTTGGGCAGGATCGTACCCAGATGGACATTGGGCAYCAGGCRCCGTGATAACCTCCCCTTCAGTTCATCGCGGAGTCGCGGGGCTGATGCTAGGATTTCCTTCAGGGTCATGAGGTCATTATGCCCTTCCAGCAACCGGTCAATCACCTTCTCTACGTCAAATCCCTCTTCCAACCGGACCGTGTATTTCTTCTTTTTGGGCGGTCCGTCATGTATGAACGGTTCGGCCTCTCCCCTGGTTCCCTTTTTCCTTGCCCGCTGCTCCGCTCTCTGATCCTCTTCTCTGCGCAGCCTCTCGTCCTCTTCCTCTTCATCATCGTCGTCCTCTACTTCGACAACTTCTTTCCTTCTCCCTGGTTCGTGTTCCCTCCTTGGAGGCTCTTGGCTGGTACTAGCCTTGGCTTGATTCCTCGTTCGCGCTGCCTGTGCCAGCCGGGCCTGCGGAGTGAGGGGTCTCCCCCTCATTCCTGATTGTGGGCACGACCCCACCACATTTACTCCGGGTCGCCCAGGCGCTGACTTCGGGCCGGAGTCATAGAGGAATACTATGGGGATGTTAGACCTCCATCCTTTCACTTCTTCACAGAGGCCCACCAACTTCTGTTGGCACCTCCCCATCTTATCCAGCAAGTCCTCCATCTTCTCAAATAAGACGGACGGAGGCTCCGTTCTTTCCTCCTCATCCTCGTCATCTGACTCGATGATTATGGCCTCTTCCGTCTCACTTCCTCCTCGTAGCCCTTGAGTCGCTTCCTCATCGCTTCCCACTTCTTCCACCCCAAACGGTGGTTCCTCCTTTTCCTGCCATAGCCTGAACATGGCAGGGGGTGGCGGCCCAGCCGCCGCTCTTCGTTGGGCTTCAGCCCTCACTCCTCCAAGCCTTCTGTCAATGGCCTCCCCAAACTGATCGTAGATATTCCCATCCATAGTAGAGAAAATCAGTCCGCTTCTCTCGTCTTCCCGTCTTATATTACAGAACCTTATAGTGTGGCCCTGCTGGTCACAATGTTGACAGATGGTCGTCCTCCAGTCAAAGCGGGGTCTTCCATACCCCTGACTTCCCTGATCCCCGTGGCCTTGATACCCCTTGCCTTGATAGCCCTGGCCTTGGTACCCCTGGCTTTGACTCCCTTGGCCTTGGTACCCCTGACCTTGACTCCCTTGGCCTTGGTACCCCTGGCCTTGGCCCCCTTGGCCTTGGTACCCCTGGCCTTGACCATTCCATTGCCTTCCTCTTCCGCCGCCATTTCTGCCTCGCCCCTTTCCTCCACCCCTCCCTCCACTGCCTTGATTGCCCTGCCCCTGGTTCCCACCTCCTACAACACTGCCCTGTGAACTGGGATCAGGTGACAGTGGCGGGGCCACAGGTTGTGCCTGGGCCGCGGGGTAGATGGGCGGTGGCATACTCGTTTGCGGTCC